AACTTCCCATCCCTTAAACCGATTGCCACTATTTTCCTCCAATTATTCTTCATTCATAAAATGATTACCACACTGGGTATTTAAACCTCAGGTTCGTATAGTGGCCTCTATATGTGAACAAATGATTTTTGTCATATCTCTCATTACGTGTATTACTTTACCCTGGCATATTGTAAGCTTCATAATTAGAGCTTATTTCTTCTACAGTATACCTTCATCACGCTCTTGCATGAGACTGGCCGGCCTAATATTATTTTACGTCATGCATACGACAGTTCAGAAGTATTTTCAGAAGTGCTGTGCATTGCAGTTTGAACCGTATCCTGAAGATTGCATTTGGGATTCGGTTTCTACAAAGACTGAATATTGTCACTTTTTTCCCAGCACTAAAATCTGTATTTCAACGAGGCAAAAACACTTCCAATCAAATTTCAAACTTTGTTAAAGAAATTAAAATAAAAGCTTTCTTGATTATTTCTTTGATTTTACATCCTGTCGATTATGTGAAAACATCACACCATTCCCATGATGTATTATGATGTGCTGTAGTATTGATGTGTTGTATTAATGTGTTGTATTGATGATGTATTGATGATGTGTTGTATTGATGATGTGTTGTATTGATGATGTGTTGTATTGATGATGTGTTGTATTGATGATGTGTTGTATNTATGGTGTAGTGGTTATCACGTGCTTATGGTGTAGTGGTTATCACGTGCTTATGGTGTAGTGGTTATCACGTGCTTATGGTGTAGTGGTTATCACGTGCTTATGGTGTAGTGGTTATCACGTGCTTATGGTGTAGTGGTTATCACGTGCTTATGGTGTAGTGGTTATCACGTGCTTATGGTGTAGTGGTTATCACGTGCTTATGGTGTAGTGGTTATCACGTGCTTATGGTGTAGTGGTTATCACGTGCTTATGGTGTAGTGGTTATCACGTGCTTATGGTGTAGTGGTTATCACGTGCTTATGGTGTAGTGGTTATCACGTGCTTATGGTGTAGTGGTTATCACGTGCTTATGGTGTAGTGGTTATCACGTGCTTATGGTGTAGTGGTTATCACGTGCTTATGGTGTAGTGGTTATCACGTGCTTATGGTGTAGTGGTTATCACGTGCTTATGGTGTAGTGGTTATCACGTGCTTATGGTGTAGTGGTTATCACGTGCTTATGGTGTAGTGGTTATCACGTGCTTATGGTGTAGTGGTTATCACGTGCTTATGGTGTAGTGGTTATCACGTGCTTATGGTGTAGTGGTCATCACGTGCTTATGGTGTAGTGGTTATCACGTCTGTCTAACACACAGAAGGTCCCTGGTTCGAGCCCAGGTAAGCACAGTCGTTTTGCTTCGTCGCGATGCCCTAGCCTTTTGCATTCGGTCACTGACACGATCCGCAGCATATATACGACGGTAGGAATAGCATTACTGGGGCTCTATAATGTGCTGCGCCAGATTGAGGGTAGGAATAACATTAATGAGGTATATTCAACACGCTGCGTCAAATGGAATTGACAAGAAGCAGCTTGTGGATGAACCAAAACAACCCATGCCCCTGGAAAGCTTCTATATACTGGGGCCCTAGCTTGCTCAAGATAATGGTGACAAACGTTACGATTTTCCTTGCAATTGTCGAAAAGCGCCCGCCAAACTGTCGTTATCTCCCGTGATTTTTGGATCAAATAATGCTATATTGCAGGTTGGAGCTGAAGATCACATCAGCCGTGCACATCACAACGCCAGGTGCCATATTTCAACCTTTACATCATCAGGCTAATTGAAGAACATGTCAATAATGCTGGAAAAAAAATTCCCAACGCGGTTCTTGAAGAACGTCGATGAATAATCGGTGCTCGCTATCCTAAATTAGGCGAATCTGCAGCTCTCATTAACAGCTTGTTCGTTAACTTTGAAATACCCATGCCGCTAGTGCCTCTGATTTTTGTTGTGGCCTGGATTTCATATCGTTTCATTTATCGTAAGCCTGGCATTAGGTTGTGCACAACGTTTATCCTTTAGTTGTGGGGTATCTACTTATTCTTTAACTCTTTTGAGCATTTTAGCAATACTTCATATGTTTCTTTGTTATTCCTCTAGTAAACCACGCCTGTAAAGCAGTTAACTATTTGTATGCACTTATCTATCATTAAATGAGGTGAGCATCATTTATGATTATAAACTGATATTTTAAGATGACTAAATACTTAAGCAATGCCCGCTTGTCAGCGTGGTTCTAACAAACTCGTTTTTCACTATGTATACAATTTTTTCAATCAGATTTTTCGAATCTTCATCCTGCCTCCGTCCTACGTGCCTGAAAGTTCCATTTTCATTTGGATTAAAACAACGAAAAGACCTGGGACCTGCAAACCTAAAGACGCCATAGATATCAATAAAATTTACCTCAACCGTCATCAAATTGTTCCGATCCTTTTTATATGCGTTTAGCAAATACTATTTCTAGAAGAAGTATTCATAGAGCACAAGGATAATCTCTTTCGTGATAAAAATAGTAAGCCAATTATTTTTTCACACATCGAATACCGGCAAGAACAATTTCAGGATGTTTTAGAAGCGACCGAGTTTTCTGCATCAGCTTCTTCTCTAACATAATTCGAGGATTACAACATCACAGAACCACACCATACAACCCACAGCCACACCACACATTATCACATGCCCTCAACACAACACATCATCACACAACCACTCCACAAACCACACATCATGTAACACATCATCACACAACCACACCACAAACCACACATCATGTAACACATCATCACACAACCACTCTACAAACCACACATCATGTAACACAGCATCACACAACCACTCTACAAACCACACATCATGTAACACAGCATCACACAACCACACAAGCTACACATCACATAACATAGCATCACCCAGCCACACTGCCCATCACCCAGCCATCATCACCTGCCCTCAACACAACACATCTTCACACAATCACCCCACAAACCACATATCACGTAACACAGCATCACACCACCACACCACAAGCCACACATCACACAGCCACACTACACATGACCAGCTATGTAGACCATACAAGCAGGCGGGGGTGTAGCTCAGTGGTAGAGCATTCGACTGCAGATCGAGAGGTCCCCGGTTCAAACCCGGGCGCCCCCTGTTTTGCCACACCGATTCATTCATCGCCACATTCATGTACTTGTAATGTACGCATCGATATAGCCTTGTTTATTTTTTCAAACTGTTGAAACTTGAACCGTTAGAAGCGATGGCGTGAAAAACTTTTTTTTCTAATATAACATATCTTTTACGACTTACACTTACAAACTCCGTTTAATATCCGTTGATAAAATATCGTGGTATTTTTTTCAACATACGAAGATCAATATTCAGCCGGGCTATTTATTATTTATTTTATTGTTAATATACTAATAACCCGGTGGATAGTTCACGAGTGGATAACGTGTAAGACTAACACGTCGCTCGAGAAGAAGCTAGTCACGCGCGCCACGAATAACCTGACTGCTACCATCGTCATGTCAACCTATTGATAAGCTGTGTTCAATATAATATAGGTACATGTAATATAATATAGTAATAACATTATAAAATACAATGTAACATGATATAGAATATTATAATATAATATAAAGTCTATAGTTCATTGAGAAAAATATAAAATATTCTCGTGTCACTTGAGACCTCAAATTACTTTAGTGCTCTAATATGACATATGGCATTTCATGTTTATTTACACAGCGAAGTTGACGCATGTAATTTCGAGTCGAAAAGCACAGTGCTGTGCGTCAGCCTTGGCGCTGTGCGTTGCTTCCTAACCTCAGAAGCTGATTATGAGTACACCATTGTACTGTGCAGTGCTGTGTAGTGCACTGGTTCTGTTAACTGCTTGTGTTGTACAGTGCTTGCTGTGTAATTCTGGCTGGGCATTCGCTCATTTGTTCTTTATTGGTTGTTGTGCTGTGCATTGGTTGTTGTACTGTGCATTGGTTGTTGTGTTGTGCATTGGTTGTTGTGTTGTGTATTGGTTGTTGTGCTGTGCATTGGTTGTTGTGCTGTGCATTGGTTGTGGTGCTGTGCATTGGTTGTGGTGCTGTGCATTGGTTGTTGTGCTGTGCATTGGTTGTTGTGCTGTGCATTGGTTGTGGTGCTGTGCATTGGTTGTGGTGCTGTGCATTGGTTGTGGTGCTGTGCATTGGTTGTGGTGCTTTGCGTTGGTTATTGTGCTGTGCACTGATTGTTGTGTTGTTCTCTGGTTGTTGTGCTGTGCATTGGATCAAAAATAAAACATACTTATGCAGTAATGAACACAGACATGTGGGAATGGTCATGTGGTCCATGTTGTGCTCGTCTGTCGACGCCAACATACCGCCTATACGAGCAATATACTTTCAGGCAGGCCACATGTTAGACAAGGTATTTGCTGGAAATACCTTCAAAAGAAATGTGAACACGGGAAGAAGGGTGAAGGATGTAAATTTACGCATCCCATTATTTGTTGTAAGTTCTTTGACTATGGAAGCTGCGTTATCCACGAGGATGCAAAAAGAGTGATGATTGCCCCTTTTACTGCCCTAGGTTGTGCTGTAGCGTCATGAATATGCAGGATTGCAACAAAGCAACTGTCGTATCCGCCATATCAAATAAAGAAAACGAATTGCAAAATCTCATAGTGGAGGGCCGGAGCGCCAACGCAACACCCGCACCACGAATGACGGTGTCCACCGCACGGCAGGCCTCACAAGCGCATGGAGAACAGGACAATGTTGTGGGGATGGAAAACACCGTTGGAAGGAGCGGTGATGAAATGAGCATGATGAGTGGGGATGAGCAGAGTCCAAGCAGATCCAGTAAGTCAACCAAGCATTTGGGACTGAGAAGCACGAGGCGGGCAAGAGGTCAAACTCAATGTTTTTTTAGACAGGGAGAAGCAAATGAAACACTACACAGATGAACAAGTAACAACTGATGAAACGTCAGATGCAGGAGCTCTTGAACCAGAGATTCCTGGCAAAGCGGTGTCGCTGCAGATAAACGCACCAAGAAGAGATGAGTCTGGCATTTGGTTGGCCAACATCGAGGGGCTCTTCCCACAAAGAGCGCGCCACAAGATTGGCGTGCTGAGAGAGATTGCCGACGAGGGTGGGATCTTTATGATTACACTAACGGAGTCGCATCTGAGAAAAGATATCCTTGATGGATGCAGGCAACGTATCAAGGAATTCTTTCTTGACAATGGAAGGATTCCAACACTACCGCGCGGACCAGAAGGAAGGGAGGAAGAAAGGAGGAGTAATTGTTTACTTTAGGAACTCCCTCCCATGAAGCACGGTGGAATTGAGATCGAATTCTGGAAACTCTGATTGTTTTGTTGAACACGTGCTACTCCGCATTAAACAACTCGATCTCTACGTAGCTATCTATATATAGTGTATGTAGTGACACCTGCTTGCCCATCGGTAAAGTTTAACGAAACCCTCAAAAACTGTTTGAATTGAGATGCGCTGGATGTATGAACATGAATAACAGCGTACTTTACCTTGAAGAAGTTGTAGTGAGTAATTACTTCGTTGGTAACAACGTCGTAAATTAAAATCCGTTCCACGCTAAATGCGGTTTTTGTAAATTTGTCTAAATTCCCCTGGAATCGAATACGCGGAACTGCTGTAATTTTTTCTCACAGAGGCGTCGATACCAAATATTACTCCACGGAAACATGGCCGCCAATCATTGCAATAAAATACTAATTATTCCAAATCCTTAGAATAATTGAATGAGAATGAAATAAATAATAAAGCAGAACTATTCCGTTGTCTGAGAAGTCATTAGTGCTTTTCTTCTTTTGCTTTTTATTTATTTATTTGGATCTTTGAAAACTTCGGTTCATGACGCGAGTTTTAGGGGAAATAAACACAAAAAAACGTATAACAAAAGAGATAAATTTTTAAAATCATAGCGTCTTTTCTGGGTCGATAAAAGAACGCGCGCTTGTGTTTTTTGATAAACGAAAAACAGTTCTGAAACAACGTTTAAATGATGTTTAAATTATTCGGGAACGGGTTCTACGTCGGAGCGAGCGTAACTCAGTTCTTTTCAAGCGACCGTGAAGTCTACATCCACGTCGAATTTAGACCTTTTCATAAAATTTTCGGTTAACTTGTTTCTTTTCAGAATAATTTAAGTTTTTGCGTCGACCCTGCAAGTTGTGATTCTAAATAAGAGGCCTCCACGATCTAGACAGACAGCGACGTCGGAACTATGATCGCTTCAAATCATTTATTAACATTTTTTTTGTTTGCTGTCAGGACTTTCATCTTAAGATTTATTATCTTTGGAATCCTGCCAAGTTTTGTAAAAAATGTTGACCTATTTTTAGTTATTTCTTATTTTTGTTTTACTTATTTATCTACATATTTTTCTCGGAATAGATGTTGATAATGGCCCACTTTCGAGAATCGGATTATATAGGTTGGCCAAGTGACATTATTTTGAGTTTTGTCATGAAATTTCCCGTAGATTTTGATCGTCATTCTTTATGGCATCTTATTGTGATCGAGCAGCGGGTCGGGCGTTTTTTTCAGCGACAGTGCCATCTTTAACACAAATTTTCGCTTTCGTGTATCAGCGAAATTAATATTAACGTAAGAACATTTCTGCGTAGGTACGCTGCTAATTTTCGTATCGTGACTGTAAAATTTTAGGCAAGGTTCTACCGAGACTCGAACTCGGATTGTTGGATTCAGAGTCCAAAGTGCTAACCATTACACCATAGAACCGATACTATTACGTACCATTACTCCGTAGAACCGATACTATTACGTACCATTACAGCATAAAACCGATACCATTACATATATACCATTACACCATTGAACCGATACTTGATTCGGAATGTTTTTAATGTAGTTGATGTAGCAGGGTAGCGCGGTTACTGATGTTTTGCAACTGCGGCGTTCAACATCCGATGGTAGCTAATAGACGAGGTCAACATACACGTTAAATACAAATGTTAAATATACATAACCGTCCATACAGGACTTCGCGGTCCATTCATCTCCTCTGATGATCTGGACTCCTGTAAATCTTGGCGCGTCAAGCACATTCTTTGAAACGTTTGGTTGTATTATATTATTGCTTGGTGTTTCAATAACTTTAAGACTTGAAATATGCCTAGGGCTCTTCCCCTGGCATATTGCGCGGACCTGCCTAAAATTCATAATTTTATGCGAGCTTTGGAGCTTTGGGATGCATATTAAAAATACTGATCTTTTCATATGGTGCTATATAGTTCTTTCATCATATGCATCTCCAAGCCGAAATGTATATTGCAATGTATGAAATGTATTAATAAAAATTCATTTATCATTAAAGTAAACACACAGCTCGCTACCTTTCATAATATCGTCCAATCTGGAAAAGGGAGATTGTGTTGCAAAAAGGAATTTGTTGATTTTAACACTAATTATGTCTAGCGAACATTCCTCATCAACGTTTCAATAATCGATTCTTTAATTGTTAATTCAATAATACAACACACAAGACGCTCTTTTGATGAACGTATCAAATTTTTCACACAATCATGCTGTGTACGATTCTAGAATATCATTTGCATATTATTCCGTCCACAGATGAGCGCTGCTGAGGCCAGGGAGGACGATGAGGTGGGCCACGTCACACCTGACGAAGAGACCGACGATGAAAAGTTCTTATACTCAGACGAGGAACCGAGCAGCTACGAGACCGACGGTCTCTACTTGACTGACGATGAAGCGGAGCTTGGTGACGAAGGCGACGATGTAGGGGAGCGATACCCCCATGAAGGTGTAGACGCACGTCATCATCGGAAAGCGAGTGCCGTCGTTCAACGTCACGACCAAGAAAATGATGTTGACGTCAAAGAAAACGGTAATTTGATGAATGAAAATAAAGGGACACCCGCAGAAACTCCGATGTCACACAAAGGAAACGATGATGACCTCGCTGAAAACAAGATTTTGCAAGAGGGAACTGAAATATTCCACAATAAGAAGCCCAAACGTAAAAAACATCATAATTCCAAGTCGGACAAGACTGAAGATCAGTCGGAAACGATGTCAAATATTAGATCTTCCTATGCGAAAGATTCCAGAAAAGGTGCATCAAGGCATCATCACTTGACTTTTGACTCGGAAGAAGAACCTAATGAACTTAAACCTGAACTTCATCCTGCCGGGAAGGAGTTTAAACTTCCTCATGGTCTGGAGATCATGTCGCTGGTGAAGGAGGTAGCTGAGGGAGGTGACGAAGGTACCAAGGCTGTGGACCCCATCGCTGCCATCGACCCTCATCAGGTGAGGCAGACATGCCTGTGGTCACTGTTTTACGGACCATGGCCTATACTTTCAAAGAAAGTTAAGAGATCGTAAGTTCATCAGCCAATCATTGACGGCCTTTCAAGCAAAATCCACCAATCATAGACAAGAATATAGAACCTAAGTACTTACGCTCTATTTTCCTGTCTATGATTGGCGGATTTTGCTCGAAAGGCCGTCAATGATTGGCTGATGAACTTACGAACTCTTAACTTTTTTTGAAAGTATAGGCCCGGGATTTTCGAGCTTTTCATTAGAGAAATTAACTTATCAGTTTGATCCCAACCTGGAATTCAATTATATAATTTTGACCTAATTTTGACGAGTTTTGTGTTCCAATAATTTTAGTAACCTTCAATTATGACAGTGAATACAACTTCCTTCAAGACGAAAAGTAATTAATTATATAAAATGTCAATGTTATCCATCTCATCATCGTCTATTCCTAATTAATAAATTATTCATGAAATTCAGTATTTTATTAACTAGTATTCAATTGAATCATGTTATCAAGAGTAGAATATTTTTTCATCTTCTATGAAATATTATCTGTTCATGATAAGCGTTGTCTTTTTGCCTTTTTTGTCGGGAAATAAACAGCCATCCCTGATATTCCAGGATCGTCGGTATAATTGCATGAGACTTTCTCAAATAGATAAGCTAATAACATAGAGAAGGACGCGAATGTGATAACTTGCGAAAAACTTCTAACGTCATACGAATAACGATACACTGTTCCCGGTAACGATGCTCAGTAATGTTAATTGTTTGGCTTTAAAAAAATGGACTAGCATGTGAATATATGAAAAGTGAATGAATAGCTTATGTAAAAGATTTATTCTTTATTGGAACCGACGAGACCTACATTTGAAATAATTACAGATAGAACTTTGAACTGCATATTTGGCTTGGTGAACAAAAAGCGGTGCACTTCGGAAGAGAAGTACGACAATTGAAAAAAGCGAGGTACGACAATTGAAGGGGCGTGGGAAAAAATTGAAATGAACAAGCATTTAAGATGACGTATGAGAGCTTTCCTGTGGTACAATTATTCAAACTGGTGTGAATTGTATCACAAACGACACCTAATTCCATTGCTCAATTTGCCCTCTACCCCCTGGTCCAGCCCTCGTCCCGTGAGCAAGACGAGGCTCGTGACGAGCGCGACGTGTTCCTGCCCTCGTCAGCAGAGGGCGACGAGGGGGCGCCGCGGTCTGCAGCCCTGCGAGGGGCGCCGCTCCCCCACCACGACCTGTACGTGGGGGGCCGTGGGGGGCTCCTCAGCTGCGACGTCTGCACCACACACAACTACCTCTGCAGACTAGTGTCAGGTACTAGTGCTGCTAGTGCTACCTCTGCAGACTAGTGTCAGGTACTAGTGCTGCTAGTGCTACCTCTGCAGACTAGTGTCAGGTACTAGTGCTGCCTCTGCAGACTAGTGTCAGGTACTAGTGCTGCCACTAGTACCTGACATGCAGGTGGCATGCAGGTGCCTTGAACGACTGGTGTTACGTGACTGGCATATTCCTGGTAGTATGGTGTGAACCTGGCTAAACTGTGAAATTTCAGTAGCATATGCACCTACTGGAAGAATGCGGTCCTATCAAAACTCTGCCCACCACTCAGTCAGATCGGTTTTTTGCAGGTCCCATCGTATAGTGTGAATATAACATTTTCACAATCATGATTACCTGCGTAGATGGATATACACCATCACGTTGATATTTTACTTAGATGACTGTGACGATAATAGTGACAGGCCATAGGAATCCTAACATCACGTTGATAGACTTAATTTACTCCGATGATAGTGACGATGATAATGATTTGCCATAGGAATCCTCACAATCATGTTGACAGTTTCCAGCGATGATAGTGACAACAATGGTGACGTGCTGCAGGTATCTTCACGAGGTCGGGGTTGACGTTGGGCTACAACGTCGTGACAACGCTACCTGCTGGCGCCTGCAACGTTACCGTCAGCGAGCTGCGGCCGTCGCAGAACTTCTTCGGTGAATAACGCCTTATTTATTTAGGGGTTGTCAATACCAGGCGTCTTGAACGTTGAAATAACCTTTATTTAAGCTTCGTTGTTTCAGCGAAAGTATTTCGTAAGGAACTTCCTGTGATTATAGGTGTTTAGTTTGATAAATCGTGTCACTTTGATCGTCTCTTGTTACCTAACAAAGAATCACTTGTTACCCTCTTACCCTCACTTGTTACCCTCTTACCCTCACTTGCTACCCTCTTACCCTCACTTGTTACCCTCTTACCCTCACTTGTTACCCTCTTACCCTCACTTGTTACCCTCTTACCCTCACTTGCTACCCTCTTACCCTCACTTGCTACCCTCTTACCCTCACTTGCTACCCTCTTACCCTCACTTGCTACCCT